ACTGCCGCCAGGGCACACTGCCCCAGCTCCGGGCTCCTTCTGTCGGTGAGAGGAGTCAGGCTCCGTGCAGGAGATGCATTCCTGCAGCTGCAGGGCAGGACTGCCTCCTGGGGGTGGCAGTCACCGCAGCGTTTCGGCATCTAGGCAGAGCAAAGTGGGTGCCCTGAGCCGAGGTACGGCTGGGAGAGACCCCAGCAAACCAAAAATGCTCCTTTACTGAGAGCTGGGCACCCAAAATAGCTCATTTTCTGAGAGCTGGGCGAGATTCCAGCCACTGTCTGGAAAACCTCTGCTTTGGTGCATAATTCACCTGTTTATGGTAGTTCACTGGACTTGTGAGATCCTGCTCAAAGGAGCCCCTGAGGCCAGGGAACTGATCCAGTACAAAACCAGACCTTGAGCAACCTCACTGGAAGGGAATGGGAGTCTCAGCAGACCATGCTGCTACATTTTCTTGTCACTGATATTCACAGAAAGTACAACTTTAACCATTCCAAAAGCCAGAACAGAGAGTAAGTGCTTGGGAGGTATTACCACGTTTGTTGCTGATAATGTTGGTGCAGGATGTGTCCTTTGCTCTCCCCTCAAACCCCTGCCAAGCCAGGTCTCCCACGACCCCTTCCAGCCATTTTTTAGTGCACGTTTGAGGAGCCCCTGACCCACTGTGGGTCAGCATGATGGTTCTAGGAAGAGCAGAGTGGGGCAAGAGAGAGTGTCTGGGGACAGGAGAGTAACTGTGTTACTCCCTAAGGTGGCACAACACTTTCTGGGACTTCGTAGTCAAGTTCTCTTTTGCACCTCCCTTGAGAACTAGACAAGCATTGCCCCAAAATGCAGATTTCTAAGGCTGTACCTTAGACAAGTGCCTTGCTGATGTGCTGTCTAGGAAAGAGAGAGAGGGAGGAAGAGGTGGCTGGTTTCTGCCTGCTCATTGCTATGATGCTCTCATACTGAGGTTGTTTGAACATTAAGAGCATTAAATAGAATAAACACCGTCTCAAGCTTTCTGGGTACTCCCCAGACATTATACACCTCTCTCATGAAATTGTCTGTTGCAAAAATAGATGAAAGTAAGGCTTTACTTTATTAATGTTTTCTAATTCTCTAGTTGGAAATACATGTCTCTTTTTAATCTTTTTCTTCCTTTTCCCTTAAATCCACTGAAAATTACTTTAACAGGTCTATCAACTTGGAGACTCTCATTTGAGTGTTTTAACTGAAATAACCTGAGAAATGATTCATCATTAAAGATGGCAACAGTCACCCAAGGACAAATCCTGGGAGTAACTCACTACTTTCCCTGGAGTTGGAATTGATCTATTGATATAAACAATCTGAAATATCCCAACAGAGATAAAATGAAATATAAAGCCCCTCTCTCTTTTTTTTTTTTTTTGGCCTTTTTAGAGAGCTGATGAGAGTAAGATATCTATGTACCATATACAGCTGTGCACATGTTCTCAGGCCTGAGTGGCATAAATAACAAGTAATTAGCATCCATAGACTTGAGTGGATTAGCAGGACTATGGAAAAAACAGAGCCTGTATACACTAAAAACTTTATTAGAACAAGCTGTTTAAAATCTCAAACTCTTATATACAATTAAGCAATATTGTGTCTTTCAAATATTTACATTACAAAATAATTTGAAACAGCTATTTGATAAAACTGTTAAATATACAGCAGTCTCACACCATAAAGGTAACAAAAGTTCAATTCAGGGTCCCCCAATGAGTTTAGCATTACAAAAAAATTATTTTTTAAATCTCAGACCAAGAGTTATCTATGAACTTATGGTTATGTGGAAACTAAAAGATTGTTCCTTTTTGCTGAGGTTAATGTTAGGGCTGTGTGCTTTACAAGTGCAGAACTCTTATGGAATTAATTAGCTGCTGGTAATATCAGCAGCCTTATGTTTGTAACTTTATGGAGGAGTTATTTCTATTTTGTTAAGATACTGATTTTTAGCATATCTAGGAGAGGTGTTGATTTTTAATTACCCTTCTTATTACCTATGTATTTCTCAGACAAATCTTCCTGTGGATCTGTAACTTTTCTGCAGGACAAAAAGGCCTCACTCTGTAAATGAGATGTCAAATTGTCTTGAAGTGCTGGATAACTGCTGAAATTATTGAAGAAAATGGAAGAAGAGGTAGCGGTTCCTTTGGGATCATCACATTTGTGAAACATTTTAGAACAGTACATAGTGGGAGACACTTCCTGTTTCCGTGCTTTTTCTCATTTTCTACTGAGGGATGATAACTTATCAGTTACTGGTAGATGTTGCAGGGTGATGGTGAGATGGGTTCAGATCAGGCTAACAGTGAGGATATTACCACAGAGGCTTAAATACTCTGCAGTACACAGTGATAAAATAATTTTGAGAGTTTGCTGCTATCTTATCTGCTGTCTGGTTGCTCTTCTTTTTATTTGGCTCTTCTTTTTATATGGGTTAGAGGACCTGACTGTGTGAATGATTTAGAAAAAATGAAGGTGGATCAACAGAAGGTGTACAGTTAATACTCGTGAACTGGAATATTATAAAGTTTTGGCTGTATTAATGTAGGTGTGAAATGGCCTAAATCCCATGTAATTCAATCCACCCACAAAATTAAAGTACTGAGGCAAAACTGTGCAAAAGGAAATGACCAGGAACTGATGAAAAGTGTAAAAAAACAGGAGAGCAAGCATTAGAGGGAAATACCAAATGGGGTAAGGGAGGAGAGGGCCCAAAGCAGTGCCCATGATGCAGCTGCAGCCCTGAACCTCCTTCACAGAAAGGCTGGGCTTAAGTGAGAGAGCAGGAGTTGGGCAGTGGCTGTGGCAAATGCAGACCTCAGCGTGAAAGTGATGATCAAAGAGAGAGACCAGTGGGGTGGCAGGGAGCAGTGCAGATGAATGAGTGATCCCCTCCGTAGTTTAGGGCTTGGGGAAGAATAAAAGTGATGTATCAATGCTCAGGAAAAAGAGAAATATTAAAAAATTGTATTTGTCTAGTGCTGAGGGAAATATCCATAACTATACTGAAATGCAAATTGGTTCACCCTCGGTCTTGTTTCACACAAGGAGGACAGGACCTAATGACAGGTGAGATTTGATGGAATGGCACATTTTTCAATAGTAATGCAGCATATATTAAATCTGGACTTTTAAAAATCAGCAGATAGAGAAAATTTCTGTCTGAATTGGCCAAGGAAGTGCCCAAAGCATTGTTTTGTATTTTTAAAGGCCGAGAAAAGTTCCTGAATAGGCAAATAAATTTTCTAGCATGCCAGAATTTAGACAGACTAAGTGACATGAATAATTATAAACCTTGAACCTAGACATTAGTTCTGGACAAAATTGATTTTAAAGCTTTTTATAGAGATGATCAATGATGAACACTGGAATAAGAATTAGTGCTTAATGGCACTAAGTTTACAGAAAATACATTCTCTCAAAGTAAACTTGAAAAATAAAATATATAAATGAAACTTAATCTCTGAGAAACTTATTTGGAGCTGTACAGCCTTTTATCTGAGAGGAGGACCATCTAGAATTAACATTAACCCCAAACCATCAACATCTACAACACAGGCTGCTTTCAAATGCCACAGCAAACTGAGTTGGTGCATTGCACTAATATCAAACGGGTCATCAGTGTACCAGAACTGAGTTAAGCCATACAATGATGCAACGTCACCTTTGGGAGTTGGTTCATTTTCAAAAGAAAAAAAAAAAAAGGCAAGGATTTCTATTCTTCATGCCCAGCTGTGCTTCAGGGAGAAGGCAGCAGCTGCTGGACACAGGACAGTGTGGACTGGAGCATGGTGTGGTGAGAGTCACTGCTGTTGTGAACTGCTGGGTCCCACTGGCTGTTCTCCAACCACACAGCTGGTAATGGTCTTAAAATACAGCCTTTTATCTTGTACCATTAAAAAAAAAAAAAACAGTCTCTCTGTTTTGGGCATCTTCAGGTTACTGCTTTGCAAATTGTAGGACACCTAAGCAAAACATCTTTTTCTGTTGGAAAGAAGTAGCTAACAAAACTGCTACTGGAAATTATCTACTTCAATTTAAAAAAAATTCTAAATTTCAATCTTTCACTTTTTCTTCCCCCTGTGACTGCATTCTTTTAAACCAATATTCTACATGATGGGTTTACTGTCAGGAAATAGTGGAAGTGTTTAAAAAAAAAGTTGTGAAAGATGAACTTAAAACACTTATTTCAAAGTTAAAAATCATCCAAACAGGGAAAAAATTTATTCTTTTAGGAAATTACTAATTAATTTTAATTCAGTAAGGAATTAATATGGTTAGCTCTAAACATTTTTTCCTCTGTATTTTGACATGTCTTTAATTATTCACAAAGCTGAACCATCCTCTGTCAGCTGTTAGTGATACTTAGATGCCATCACAGAGGCTTGGGGCATTTGTTTTCTCTATTTAATCAAGCTATGCATGGTAACTTGTGATTTATTTGCAGGCAAAAAACCTGATCATATTAAACATGTATTGAGTGGGAAGGCATTATATATTTAAATAGAATATGAGGATAGGTAGGACATAAGATATGGTAAGGTATGAAACTGCTATTTTAAATAAGGCAAGAGAAACTGCCCAGACAAGGATCCATTTTTATGTGTGTTACATATTCAAGCTCTGATCCCTAAGAGATGTGCTATCTAAAATCAATGGACACCATTACAACATTCATATTCCCACCTTGAGGTATCCCAAGAGTCTGATTTTTTTTCATTTTAACTAAAATTAACCAGGCACACTTAGTAGTCCTTATCTTTCAGATATTGCAGCCTCAGTATTTAAAAACAGAAGGAGCAGAAAACCTCCTGTATCTGAAAACCTTGACCAAGTAGTTATGCATAACACATGCTTATCTAAATCTGTATTTAATGTGAATATTGAATTGTTCCATTTTTCAACCTCACTCATAAAAAAAAAAAAAAGAAAGAAAGAAAGAAATGTTTTCAAGCTGAATATTCCTGAAGTAGGTGGTTAGAGAACAGCCCTGGGCACGGAGAAGAGTTACACAGGGAGAGCTAGCCCAGGGCACTCATCTGTGGAGAAAAGAAACTGAAAGGCAGTCTCAAAATAATACTTGTCACTTCTACAGGGCATTTAATCTGAAAACCAAAAAGCACTCTACAGAGTCTGTGCCCTGGCTGGGCTGCAGTCACTTCTGGCTATTCCTCTGAGAGGCTTTTCAGCTGCAGTCTGTCCTCATAGCTGGTCTGTCAGTCCTAGCCTGGTACCTCCCCAACAGCAGTCCTGTGCAAATCATTGCACTGTTCAGAAAAAGCAAATTGAGAAATAAACATTGCATAGGCATGAGCTTCACATCCACCAAACCAGAGCAGTCCAGAATTATGAACACTGAAACAAACACCCACAAAACCAAATCAAACTGAAGAAACCCACCAAATCTGGAACAGAATCAGTTTTAAGTGCTGCACAATACACAACTGCAGAACTAGACAGAAATATGGACTACTTTGAGAACTTTCAGCAGGGGTAAAAAAGGGGTTTCTCTTGATTTGGGGTGAATCTCATTGCAAAAAGAATTTAAATGAGTCATTAATCTTGCTAGAGTGCTTTTCTTTTTTTTCTTTTTTTTTCCCATCTTTTCTTCTTTTCCCTTGGTGATGTTTCCTTTCTGAAGACCATATGAAGCAGAAGACAACAAAAGCATTTGCTTCTCTGGCCTTTTGAGATGAATTCTATTTAAATCCAGTTCTTCCAATATCTGGGGAATGATGAGCTTGTGTGCTGCATCCCTTTAGCCAGTTCTTTGCCGTCCTGAGGACTTCATGATTCACCATCACTGTGTACATGTGGAAAAGAAAAAAAAACACCAGTGTCATGCTCTTGGGTTAGTTGTCTCAGCAGGAAATAACATGCAAGAGTGTCTCTAGAGTTCATGAGAAGGTGTTACCAGAAAATAAATCTGTCACTCATGTAATGGATGAACTGATGCTGGCAGCAAGGACTGCTCTGATTCCTGTCAGATGGTTCATGGCTGCCCAGCACAGCCTTTCTCCTGCTCCTGGCTCTCTTTCCTCAGCTGAGGAAAACTTTTTGGTTTACAGCTGACCTTGTAACAGGTGCCTTTTCTCTTTGTCCCACTGATTTCTGCTCAAGTGGCTTGCTCCCTAGCACTCTCTTAATAGTGTTTGGCTCATGCCAATGTTAAAAAATGTGACATCTTATATTGTCTGATTTGAATTCAGTCAGCAGGGACAACAGTGGGATTTTAAACCATCTCTGAAACTAAAAGGGCCACCTATAATCTTAATATTTTACATGTTTTCTTAAGTCTCTTGCAAATTGAGGCACATCCTGGGAATGAAGTACTTCTTTCTGTACTGACCTACCGTCCACCCAAAACATTTCTCCATAGGAAGGAGTCATCCTTTTTCAGACAGAAAGACAAGAAGGGTGCCCAGCAGCACCCAAGACAAACCAAACCTCTCAGGTGATAAAGCATAGGGGGATTGCTTGTACTCCACCCCCTACTATGACCCATGCTGTGAAGGGGACAGGCTGCATTTATTTTCTGGAACAGTAAAGGTCCCTGGAGCAGAGATTGGTCTTTCCCCCCTTGTGCCCCACAGATCATCAGCCCTTGCCTGCTGCCCCTGCACATGCTGCTGCTCCCTCCTGCATGCACAGGATGGGAGCCCTGGCCCCAGGCAGCTGGGGGGGGGGGAGTTGCAATTCTGTGCTCAGGCACAATCAGGATTCTAGCAGTAGCTTTCAAATGCAAGAGGTTTTGATTCAAATATACATATTTTGAACAGTGTATATAAATTTTGAAAATGTGTATATACATATGTTTGTAACTTAGCCTGCAAGGCCAGGGGAGGTGACCTCCCTATCAGGGAGCCCAGGTTGTCATATCTTACTTCCTTTGCACAAATGTGCAGCCTTGATGCTCATGAGTACAAATTTTGCCATAATTATAGCTTTGTATCATTTTATTTCTTAGTCTTGCCCTTTCCCTGCTCAAAAGAGCTGCTGAAAACATCTATTTATCTGTATGTAATTCTCTTTCTGACATTATTTATTCATCTAAATATTTGGTTAGGAAAAGCAGAAGATCTTGGACTGATAAGGTTCAATTGCAAATAAACAGGAAATTTTTGTTTGTTTCCCATAAATCCCTCCACTTCAAATATCTTTTCATATTGAAATGAAGCATATTTCAAAATTTCATGTGAAATGAAATTTGAAGAAGTAGCCTTGGAGTAAGGGAAACATTCAACATAGAAATACTTTACCACCACACAGTTCTGCTTGTCAAAAATTTTAAAAATTTTTATATTAAAAATACACTTGCTCTGAAGAGTAGTTTTGAAACAACCTTCATTCTGAAAATGTCAAAGTGTCATTATTTAAATGTTTTGTCTCATATGTTTTCAAAATCGTTCATAGTTCAAGACATTTGGGTCTTGATCAGCTCCCCCTCAGCATCTTTGTGAAGCAAGAAAACACCATCTCTGTTTAGTGTGGCCTGAGATGTTTCCCATACTGAAATATCAATAAAATATTAAAAATAAATTACCCTAATTTTAGAAGAATTTTGCCCAAGGAAAGTAGTCTTTCAGAATCTTAAATTGAATCTAATATTCCTGCACTTTATATTCAACTAATATCCCTTGTCTGAGCAGCTCTGAATGTTTTAGAGATAAATCTCCTATTTTTATTCGCATTTGCTTGCCTTTCTACAATTTAGGGGCATACATTTCTCTAATCTAGTCTAAGATACCCTTCACAAGAAAATTTGCTTAAATAATGAGTGTGCCTTTTCTCTGGAGCATACTTATCTGAACAGGGCTGCTTTTTTGTATCAAGGCTTAAGCCTCACTGTAGTGTTCTAAAATAACTCTATTTTACAGGTGGGGAGCTTGAGGTAGGGTGTAGCTCAAAGATGCCTTTTGATGGCCAGGAGCAAAATCCCCTTCTTCTGCTGAGGTTAATGCAAATCCAGTACAAAACCACTCCTTTAGCAAGGATGGTAAAATGTCAGCTCAAGCTGGTAGACCCTGATGGGGTTTTTTTCCCCCTTAAAATGAACTGTTAAAGATTTGGAAAGTAAACTTGATGCTAAGGGTGGTGTTGTGCCTAAAAAGCCTTTTACAGTATGACTTCTGCCAGTGTTAGCCTATGGCTGAAGCATCCTTTGTGCTGTACTCCCTGCTATAGTCAGTGGTACACTCAGCAAATCTGCTTTTAGAGAACTGCTGTGCAGCTGCCTCCCCTTAACAATTTTCCCCCCTCTGAGTTATCATTCAGCAGCAGGAAGGGAAGACCCAGATGGCTAACAAATCCAGGATCTTTTCCAGTTGCTAAGGGTAAAATTAATGTGCTTGCTAGCATCTGGAATCTAGGATCTAAGCCCTTTTTTTTCAAACAATCTGAACTAAATCAACAGCATTGATTTCACTTGCAGTAGGTGTAAAAATAAACCTTTTATATACAAGTAGCTGTAGTGGACAAGCCCCATCCAAAGGTTCCTCTGAAACTGCAGCTTTGGAGCAACTGAGCTGTAAACTCTGCAGCAGTGGTGATTTAACATCCCTATTTCACTTCTGAGCAAGGAAATTCAGAAAAGAGGATTGGAATATTATGACAGTCTACTGCAGGAGGTGCAATTCTGCCACAGGCATGGTCAGTGGAATTATCTGAGGCCATGGGAAGCAGACCTAGGTCCCCTCCCAGCTCCTGGCCTTGCCTGATTGCGTTACTGCTTCCACTGCACCAGGGATTTCTTGGCACACAGGATGCCTTGTTTGTTATCATAACCTGGCACAGAGAAGCTGCTTTGCCCACTCCTCAAAATGCAGCTGCAACACAAGGGTGCAGGCAAGGGCAATGTACAGCCTCTTGTTTCCCACTGGAAACAAGAGCCAGAATTTTTAATTAGGGAAAATTGCAAGAGGTTTAGGAGTTCTGGCCAAACTCCTAAGGAAACCAACCAGAAAGATTTTAAGTTTACAAGCTGGTCAGGACTGTGGTTTTGCATCCCACTGGGATCTCTGCTTGGACTATCAACTAGTGCCAGCTCTGGGGGAGTGCTGCAAGGGGGCACTGGGAAGATCCTTCATGTTTCTCATTCTCATTTTTTCCTTGCAATCAGACAAGTCCCTGTCTTTCAGGTCACAGCTCCAGCCAAAACATCTGGCAGTGATTCCCAAGAACCTATAGGCACCAGGTGGCAGAGGGGAACTGGGTGCCTTTGCTGAAGGGAGCCAAGGACACTATGCTGAATGCTTGTATTAACACCTTGGGAAACTGTGATTAAAGTCTGATCAGTGAGTGAAACTCCATCTGTGCCATCTGGTTGTCAGTCTTGCACCACTTTACAACTGTAAGATTATTTAGCAGTGCAGTTTACAGAAAGAGACCTGTTCAGAAATAAGAGTGTCAAGCCTTTAGTTTAAGTTGAAGTCAAAGTTTCTATATATAAACATTTTAAAACTTAAATGGACCGAAGAATAATTCTATAATTACATACAAAAAAAAATTAGAATGACACTGACCATATTTCTTCAAATAATAGAATGAATTAAAGTACCTTGGGTTGGCAATTGATTCTTTTTCTTCTTCTCTTACAGTAGGTAAACATTCACAGTCACCTGGAAAAGGGTAAGAAACAAGACTATAGTTACTCTTGGCAGTTGTTCTACATTTATTTCAAAAATGCATGAACTTTTATCATGCAGTCACTCTAGAATACAGTTCTGCAGATTCACTTCTGCTCCCTTCATCTGCAGGGTCCCCATAGCATGAATCTTACACCTCCTTCCTTTGATAGGTGTTGCCACAATTTATTTATTTTATATGTTCCAGTTCTCTATGTACACCTATACAAATGAGCTACTTTTGAGCACTGTCTCCTGCACACTGCCACAGGGAGAGTTGTTTGTTAATCTTCCACTGCTGACAGTTGTACCTATGCCTTATAGTCCAGCTGGGAATCTGGGGCTGGAGTTTAGGGAACGCTAACACACATACACACATGAAAGTATGTAAAATACTTGCTTCCTTCTCTCCACAAAATTTTAAAATATATTTTATAGCACTTTTTCCCCATGTAGTACAGTTAATGTCTCTCTTTCACTACTGCCACTTAGCACATGTTTTCTACAAAAGCTTTCAGACTGAGAAGGTCAAAACCCCATCATGTGGAGCACTGTGCTAATGCAAAGAAATGCTCCAGAGAGCTTTATGTCCTGAAAAACAAAGCATGCCTAGTAGGTCAGGCAAATGAGCCATTTGGATAGAAGGCAAGGGACCAGGAATGAAAAAAATATCAGTGTTTCAGCATTTCCTAGCCAGTGAAAAGCTGCTCATGGTTCAAAATCAGGCCTTGGTTAACTCATGGCTTACTGAAGACCTGCATTTTTTGAGGAGATCCTGGAGGGACAATGCAGACCCCTTAGAGATTTTGACTGGGGAATTCACCTGGGAGAAAAATGGGGGGAAAAATGCAAGGTACTCTTAAGTAACTGAGAAGGCAGCTGAAGATGCTGCTGCTGGTAGTTATTATATGTTCTAATTGCTCCATGTACTGATAGCCTTGAAGGGAGGGGAAGGGCGTATTCATAGGCTCCTGGCAGCAATTTTAAATAAATGGTGGTCTGAACTATGAGCAAATGCATATTTCTTCTACAATACCTCAGTGTGGAGCACAAAAGTGTAGAAATTCTGGAGACTGAAAGGATTAGATGCTTCAGAGAAGCTAATATTTAGCATTAAAATGTGTATTTAAAAATATAAATAACATTCACAGCTATCAGTGTGTTTAATAGAAATGCCTACTGGAAACTGAAAACATTTATGAGATTCTATCACATATTAAAAATAAACTCCCACACAAACTAAAATACTCCTCTGAAAAAATCTACCCCTGACATTTGTTCAGTTATTTTAGTAGGAGGGAGTCAAAAGCACAACTAAAAATGTTGTAGGGAAAGCAGTGATATGCATACAAAACACCTTCCACTGATTTCCTCTGCATGGGATCTATGTCAGCAGGCAAGAGAGAGAGGATGGAGTAGAGGGGTTACCGTGTACCATTTTTGTTCATGCTGTTCATCCATTTATCAAGCTCTTCCATTTCTATCTCCATAACAGAGGGTGTGTCTTCTTCAAAAATAGGACTTGAGAGAAGAGAGGGGGGGAAAAAGTATTACACAAAGTGCTTAATTCAAACAGCTTACAATGTAGTGATTTTGTATGACTGTTTCTAATTCCAGAGACTTGTATTAACTCTGGAAAGCCATCCTAGCCCAGTAATCTGAGGAGATGTCAGCCCAGTGGGTGTGAACCAAGGGGCCATGAACAGATGCAAGGGAGTGGCACTGAGATGCCAGCTCTGGGCAGAGGTAGGGCCAGCTGAGACACAGCACAGAGGGACTCAGTGCAGTCAGAGACATGCCAGAGCACAGGATCATTGCAGCTTCTTGAAAACTGTCCCTGCTGTAAATAGAAAACTAAAAAAAAAGATGGTTTGTCCCTACCCCTTCTGGAACACATGATAGAAGTGCCATTTCTCCAGTGCTAAAAGCTGAAGGCCTAAAGTTTCATCATAGCTGTGACTGACATTTGCAGTGACTTCAAAAGGAAAGGTCATGAGAGCTATGTTTATTTAAATGCCTCTGCTTAGTTTCCTTTTGCTTACCATTCCTGCAGTCATATGATAGAAAATATGTTTTCAGAAAAAAAAAAAAAAATTCCCTCATAGAGCCAATTCATGAACTTTCAGCATTAATTAGCAAGATGGAGATCAATAAAAGGCAACAATAAAAATTATGACTCTGAGAAGAGCCGCGCAGCTTCTGTCTTGTTTTCCAAGCATCTAAGGCATTGCTCCTGTGGCAGCCAGGCAAGCCTTTCTGCCTTAAGAAGATAAACTTGAAAAACAGGGGAGCAAGACACAGAGCTTATTCTGAATAGCAAAAGCCTGTGATGAGCCTGGGAACTGATCCCCTTTGTTCATGGGGCACCTTGTACCACTTGTGGTGCTTAAGAGCAGGCTCAGTGACGTCTGTGGGCTGTGGGTGTTTGTGGGGCAGCCCTTGCCTCAGCCACCACTTACTCCTGTTCTCCTGCTCTAGTCTTACACTTCAGCCACATACTGAAGTCACACTTTATCCACTTGTTGGGATTGGTGGTGTAATTGATGGCAAAATGAAATGGTGTTTAATGTACAGCTATATTAAAAGAGGCAGTGAAGGAGACAAAAGTTAAAAAAATTTTTTAAAAATAATGATATTCATAAAATTTACCTTTTTACATTTTCACTTCCCAGCTCATCTGAAAAAGAAGAAAGTTGGTGTTCATAATTCTGTGTGATATTTAACCATTGTATTTACAGGGTCTGGACTGCGTGCAGGCCTTGAATAGGGTCAAGTGAAACAGGTTGCATTTTCAAAAGGCATAAAAACTAAATTGCAGATGAAAGACAAAACATCATATCCTGTTTGCAATTTTCAGAGGAACTTATTCTTTTGAATGTAAAAGCATCTCATTATTAGCTCAGCCTTGCTGGGAGGAAGCCCAGTGTTGGTGTTGCAGTGGGCAGGACAGGGCAGATGCCCACTTCCTTCAGCAGAACAGATGTGCTGAGGGAAATGGTATCCTGAAAAGGAACCACTTCTGCAAAAAAATTGTTTACTAGAAGCATTGAGACATTTTGCTACAGATTACACTTGGGCAATTCAGCTTGTCTGGAGACTCTGGGAGCTGCTCATGGGGAGAAGGGAGTTGGACTGCATGGCAGATTAGTTCTCAGGCAAATGAAGCTGAACTAGCTAGATGTCAAAAGGGATCCAATCTACTTATGACTCCAAGACAAAGTAAAAATGGAGGGGGGAAATGGTGTCACAGACATAATTCTGATAAATATCTTCACCTCCAGGAATCAAGTGACTGAAAAACCTGTCTTAAATCACCTTATTTTTAATTCATTGCTGCCAGCAGGTGATACCTCCCAGTTGTTCCAGCACATTCCCAGACTGCCGAGCCACCCCAGAACCACAGAGCCATCTGCCCCATCCTTGAGGATGCTCAAAATCCCAGCTGGCACAGGGCATGAGATCCTAAGATTGTGTTCCTGAAAGGTACCACATTTCCTAACTCTCTGAACAGTGTACCTGCATTTCAATCATCCAGAAACAGGCAGGCAAGTGGGTGCCTGGTTGCAAATTCATAGTTTGTTAGAGGGAAACCCAGTGACTGGGCAAATACAACATAAAAATGTGCTGAAAACTTGACTTTAAATCTGTGTTGAATGTGTTACACTGTCTACAGGCTGATGAGCTGACAGCTGCACTCTGACCATGCAGATACACTGATACGACCATCTCAGCATTTCACTTATCAACTATGTGGTTTTATTATGACACCTCAGTTTGTTCTCCTGTGGTTTGACACTCCAAGTTACCAATTCCTTTGTTAACAGATCACAGCACCTTCCTGAAGCATTGCTCACCCTACTGCAGCACCCAGGCAGTCTGACCTAGCTCATTTGCTGTGATGTCTTCATAGCAGCCTCCACCCCATGCAATCAGGATTCCTTAAAATTGTTCCTTATAATGATTTTTCTTGATCTTATTTTATTGAAGCTCCAAGCAGCTTTACCTTGTGGGCACTAAGAGCAACAGAAGCAGTAATTTCACCTTGCCTAAAGTTGTTGAGCATAAAGACAGAACAAGCATTTGCAGCCACAGTTATATCTCTGAGCATTCTCAGCATTTCCAGGAGCCAGAGATTGGTGCCAGGGCTCCCATGGGTGTGGCAGCATGACCAGGAGGTGCCAAGAAGCAGAAGTAGCTCCTGCCCAAGGAGAGGCGTGTGACCAGGGACTGCTGGCTGGGGAGGATCCCTCTCTTACTTGTCAAACATGCAACTACAGTCAGAGAAGGGCATCCTAAATGTGGCACCCCATCCCTTAATGATCTGTTAATGTTGAACACATCCTAGAAACAGCCTTTTGATGCACAAGAAGACAAATTTACCTTGCTTGGACTTTTTCCTTTTATGATGCATTACAAAAAATATGATCAATAAAATCAGCAGGACCAGCAGCGCCACAGGGACAACATATATCAAGATAGACTGTTCTGTTTCTTCTAGGCTCTCCCCATCATTCACAGCAATCAGTTCAGTACTTGGAGAGCTCTGTGTATCAAAGCTGCTTTCAGTAGTGCTTGCAGTTACAAGTACTGGTTCATGGTCATCCACGGTGGAAGGGCCCGTAGCAGGAAGATGTGTTGCTGTGAAAGTGGGCAATATCATTGATCCATCTCCTGATCCATCGTTTCCAGCATCTGTCAAATATATGAGGACAACTTAACATTTTAAGAGTTTCATCAGTGAGCCACAGTGTACAACTTTAGTATTTACTTCCCATTTGATGTATTAAAAAAGCCTAACAGATGCCTCATACACACAGATTGGAAGTCTTGGGCATTGGATGTAAAATTAGATCTCAACTTTATCACAAAATCTTACCAGTCATGACCACGCTCTTCAGCTGACTTTTCCTGGGACACATCAGCGTGTGTGATCTGTCTGCACACAGCTGCCTTGCACAAACAGACTTCTTTTGCTGCACGTTGGCATCCGGTCTTGCTCGCATGAGAAATTATTCTGCTTCTCAGTAAACCACACCAGCCTGTTTTGCTTCCCAGTCCTGGCACATATGTTCCTCCCCTTACCCAAGGAGTTAGGTACTGCCTTCAGGGAGACCATTGTCCCTGGTTCACCAGTTCCTTTGGTTCACTCATCTCCCTGTTTTTGTACCTTTCTAAAATTTGTTAAATTTGTCTCACTGTGAAAAACAGAGTTGGTGAAAGGAAGTCTGAAGGATGCAAAAGCTGCTGACTTCCCCATCTGAGTGGACTAGAAGAGGTGTGAGTAACATGGGGACCTCGCTGCATACAGGTCCAATGAACTGTTCCTCTGACTGATTCTACAGGCTGGCTGAAGGAGTGTGCCGCAAAGCATCAGTGCTGGATATTCCCCATGAGTGCTAAGACTGGAGGTTTTGAACTTTGATCTCAGTTCTGGTTTCAATTATCACTCATTTTGCAAGAAAAATAGCTAAACTTGGCTGTGTCAGTAATAGTGAAACAAGTGCTTTTTGTGTGTTTACATAAGAGTCTATTGACTGTCACAGAATTTAAAAGCTTTAAAGAAGTACAGCAAATTCTGGGCTGATGCTGTATTCTATATGGATGCCAAAATCCTGTTGTAGCCAAAGGTGCAAGAATCAGCCTTTATCTAAATTACAGCAGAAAAGCCTCCAAGAATTTTCTTGGCATGAAATGAAATGATGGGGTTTTTGTGTTATCTGCCCTTTCAGATACAATGCCAGCATGGTGCACATCTCATTTTGTGCAATAAAACAGGATGGAATTTTTTGACTTTTGCAATTACATGTTTCTCCTCATACTTGCAAAGTGCTGGGCAGCCAGAGTTTCCACAAGAGTTAGCAAGAGCTTAAGGTTTTCAGCACCTCAGTGCTGGCATTTCCAATCTCACAGGACTGGAACCAAAAGTACTTAGCATTTTAAATGCTTTTGTAAACACATTAATCTTCATAATGGCCCTGAGAGATGAGCAGTTATCATCTCCATTTTACAAATGAGGAATCAGAAGGACAGGGATGCTGTCCTTCCCAGGGATGCCAAGTGAGAGAGAAAAACCTGGGATTAGAGCGCTATCTCTTGCTTAATCCAGTCTGCAGCATCTCCCACCAGATTTGTCTCAAGGATGAGTATTTCATGAGACTGTATTCAAGTAAACCCAATTTCAGATGAATAAAATTATTTGAGTGCGACAGCAGTGTTTTATCCAGATTTTTATGCTGCACATATCACACAGGCATCTGATTGTTTCATCCTTTCCTAAAAACTAGGAAAGAATTTGAATACTTAATGTAATACTGTGAAGGTCACCAGACTCCTGCAGCACAATAGGACAATGAGAATGATAGCTCTTCTGTGGCAAAGCACTTCGTATCAATAGTCTCTGTCTCTTCTGTATTTAATATTTCAATCAAGAGCAAAACCCTATCTCTGCCTCCCTCGCAGGTAACGACCCCCTTAGGTGTGTGCTGCTCCACCCCTCCCCGTGGTCTGCTGCCTGTCCTTAATCTTATGGCAGAGGGCAGGAGGGAGAGCTCCTCTCCCTTATTAGTTTGGCCGTTTGGCTTTTCTTTCCCAAGGCAGCTGGTAGCTCCCAGTGCCTGCAGCCAGTGCATTGCAATTGCTGCTGTGCAGAGCGGCGAGGCAGCACGAGAGATGTCTGTGCTGCAGGCTGTGACACGATGGACTGTGCCACGGGCAGAGCTGATGGCCTGCCACAGCCTCGCTGAGCCTCCTCCATGACCTTGCTTTCTTTTCCTCCTCTAGCCATTGCCCTTGGAACCCATTGCCTGCCACATTTGATATATTGAGAGGGACAAGCCTGTTGCTTAAAACAGGGAAAGGGTGTGGAGAAAATACCTTGCTTTTCATTAATTCGTAGAGCTAAAATGGATTTTTCAAATGTCTAAAGCATGGTGTGGCTTTAAAGCAAACAGTCACACCTCATTAACTGCAGTGATAAACTTTCAGCTGCAGAGTATGCTGTGCTTGATTTCTGAGAGAGATTTTTCCAGTATCTCTGCCACTTTGCCTGGTTTTGAACTATGAAGCAGACTTCAAATCATTTGTCTCTCAGTGAAACAGAATTACCTTTTCTAGTCTCTAGGCAAAGAAAATGGCAAATCACAGGGAGTGACCTTGCTGCCATGTATTTTTTTCACTTTGCATAAATCCAGGGACAAAACAGCATCTCTCTGGGAACACCATTTCCTCTTACAGAGATCTTTTCTCTGAGCGAATTAAATACATCTTTCAGCAAAAGGGCAGCCAATTGCACAATGTTCTCACAAGGACATTGCTCTTATTTCCTGCATTTACCTGCTGCCTCAACACATCCCGCTCCCCCGTCACCTCTGAGGAGCAGAGCTCAGCCTCCAGGGACGCCTCACCTGTCACCCAGCAGCTGCTCTCGCTCTCAGGCCACCCACACATCACCTTTTTTACACAGTGGGAAAGCACAGCCTGCACCTGGGCTGGCCCAGAGACTCACATAGGGAAGGATCTGTGCCTCCAGTCCGGCGGGGACAGTCGGGCTCAGGCCTCCCAGTGCAGCTGTAGCACCTGCCACAGCCACAGCCCAGTGAGACACAGGTGGGTGACCTCAAGACCTCAAGTTGCTATTTTAAAGTGCTCAAAATAGCAAGTGGGCTGTGCTGCAGCTGGCCTGGGTGGCTGTTTGGTGGGGTGAGTTACAAGGTTTGGGCATTACAAGGTTTGGAGCAGGGTAGGAGAACATCTGAAAGTTGGAGATTTTGTGAGGTGCTGTTCAAACATTTTCTCCATGCCAGATTTACAGTGATAATTCACACCATGAACTGTCTTGTCAGCTGTGGTTTCATCTTGCAGACATCTACTAGCTCCCTGCAAATGGGAATCTTACAACAATACAGCATGACATTCAGGGTGGAAAAGCAACGCCAGTGAAGTGGAACAAAGAGCAAGTCACATGTGACCATAGAGATATCCCCTTGACTTTGCAAAGCCTACACCCTTTCTCTTGTTGAGCTCAGCCTCATGCTGTTGGCTACTTTCCAACATCCATATACTCATCCCTCTGCACATCTTGTCCAAGCAGCAAATGCTCATACAACAACCACATGGGCTTCACCTTTGTCTGGACCACCTGGGGCATGAATGCTGGTGCCTTCTTCCTGTGTAAAGGGAAGTGGATGGGAACACAACACAACTTCAGCCCAGCCTGTATTGCCACTTCCCATGCTTTCAAGAGAAGGGAGAGGGGCTGGCATGCAGCAATCCACCCTGAGGGGAAGGTGGGTACAGCTGGAACTGGAAGCTAAGAAGCTGGAGCTGGAAGTCAGTTTATATCTTGTATAAATGAGCTTAAACTGTTGTTTAAGGGTTCCCCAGTTGAGGTATTAGAGAATCTGTAACTCAAGACACCAAAATACTTGAGCAAGCACCAGCAGCCTCTCATAAAAGGTTCAATTAACAGTTCTTACAAATTATGAAAAAGCTATGTCCCTGTATGCAGATACTATGGTATAAGGTATTACTCAAGATTTTTTACTTTAAAAATATGCTTGGGTCACTGATAGACTTTGCTTGAATTTTGGAGGTGCTCCCAAATATGCTTTTCGTGGGGGAGAGAGACAATTGAATATACCAAGTGGTTTTACAGACTGGAGTCCAAAAAATTATGTCTCAATCAAACAAACAACGTTTCTGTTGTTGCAGCATTTCTACCTCTGTGCTGCAGCACTCAGAGGTGGTGATATGGGCTTACTGATGAAGTAAGCAGGCAAACAGGTTTCTGAATTCGCTTGGATGTGAGGCAAAGGGAAATAGCAAAGGAAAACAGCTGGCAGTCAGCACATTCAGTTTTGTTGTAGAACCATCAGTCTCTCTGCTGCCTTGCCATCAGACTCAAGGACTGGGTTCTCTCAAGGGAATTTTTCAAATTACACCAGAGTGTCTACTGACAGAAGAAAAAGCAATGAGCTAGAGAAAAAGCAAGAGGTATGTCAGTGGTATAGCCAGGCTTATTAGTCTGAAAGCAAAATTTTTATATCTCCAAACTTTCCCATAAGCTATAAAAATGCAGTGAAAGGAAGGCTCACGAGAAGGTGACAGAACAAGAAAAGGCTGTAAAGCTGGAATAAAGTTACTATATCCTATATCATTCTGCTCCATGCACACATTCTGTTGGTGGTGTAGTCATACCACTCCTCACAGTCTGTGTGATCCTCTGGTGTATTGCTTGGCTCATCCCTGCACTGTTCCTCCCTCCACATTTCAGGTTGATGTAAGAAGGCTGTTCCTTGCCGTGGCCAGGACTTGCCCAGCTGCCTGTTGTGGCAGGTCTTGCCTGTCAATCTGGCTAGAAGAGGAATCCTTAAAAGCCTGCAGGCTAGCTGTTGGGAGCATACACTCTTCTGATGAGGGAGCACAAGCATTTCAGGGTGGCTAATCTGTAGACAAGATCCTATTAAAACGAGGTGCTTAGAAAGCGTTATCTAGGTATAACCTGAAAGAGGAAACAACTGTTTAAGCTCATTTATACAAGATGGAAACTGCTTTTCCTCACTGTATTTCTATGCAGCTGAAGTGCTGCATTAACAGGCAGCATTACAAATTCAGTCACATGTTAGAGTCAAACTGTGAACCTGTAGTCTCATTGCTCACCCCAAGTACTACAGGCTTTCCAGACCAATTTATGCATTTAGTTGCTTCTGCTTAATCCGATGGCCTTCTAGCTCTGCATCTGTGATACTCCTGCGACCTCACTGTGATGCAAATCTCTCAGTGCTTCTTGCTCTCAGGAGGACCCTGAAATTAAAGATTCAAAAGCTCCGGAGGCTTTCCAGCTATCATAAAATCTCTTGAGGGAAAAGAGACTGGTGTCACTGACTGAAAATTAGTATAGAATCTTGCTGATGTAAATGAGAGATTTTCTGAAATGTCCCTGAAGCAGTTGAATAAAACAGTGAATGTTTGTGTGTGTGGCTAAAATGGAGGAATGGTGGTAAATACATAGGAGGAGTCGATGTGTTCAGTAAAAAGGATATTTCATCTGCTTTTTAGGGCACTGCACTTTGGAAAGAGAAAATGTAGCAAATCCTCATTTCTTACATTGTTGCTTTGCTTTGCTAGAAAATTTGAAAAGGTGATTGTAACAGGTTCAAACCCATTCTCAGTTCATTACTCGAGGGGGGAACAGGTCAAAATTATTACTCCATTAGAGACCTGGCTTTGCAGGGGAGGCAGCCTAAAAGACCCTTCTCTGTCAGGAGAGAGTCGCTGCCTGTGCTCGTGGTACAAGCTGCTGAATATCTGGATCTTTGATAGCAGCGTTTCTTTGAATGACAATTCAAAACAATAGCACAGAGACACAGACAAAATAGAGCAGTACCTGCAAGCACCCCAGCTCTTCCACTTGGTGATATTACATGTTTTACTGCTCCTCTCCCTCACACATTTTCTTGCTCCCCATGTCAGACCGCTTCGGCTGCAATTTCCCACCTGTTTCACTGAGCACAGTGGGAGATGGCCTAGCCTGGGAAATGACTCAAGGATCAGAACATGTTCCTATAAGCTATAGTAAGGGTCTTAATGCTTGTTACTAGGGCCAGCACACACACCTAGGCAGGTCTTCAGGGCTGCTGCAAGGCTGAGCAGTGAGTATCATCCCCTACAGTAGAGATGATGCCCTGCACTGTTACCTGTAGGGATTCCTGACTGCATTAAAGCAAGGGGAAGGGAACTGGTGCAAACCCCAATGTCCTCTCAAGTATGGAGCTGGGAGAAGGCCAGCACCCAGAGCTGAGACCTCAGGAATGCTCTTAGAGCTACTGAATTAGAGTGATTGTAGCATCACAGGGAGAAAAGCATCCATAAATCATAATACAAATGGCAAGGCTAGGCTTTTACGAGGTTCTGGCATGGTATGGGAACAGGACTTATAAAGACTTTAATCTGTCTGTGCTGCAAGATTTAATCATACCCTGTTTGCCTATTTTCTGAATGGTCTCTAGACAGTACACTGCTTAAAAGGGGAAGACTGTGTCTGGCAAAAGGTGAAAAAGTTCCCTTAAAGGTCCTGCCTTGTTGATCTGTGAGCAAGGAAGGGTGAGAGCAAAGGATCTCCCTGAGAGGCTGCCCTCAGCAGAGGGGCTCCTGACCCACCAGTGCCTGTGGGGTACATAAGCACTACATAAACCTTTCCCCCATCAGTTTTATTTCCCCCCCAAGGCTCAGGTTCACAACTTCCCTGTCCCACCCACAGTCAGAGTAAGCCCCCAGGTACATTTTGGAGCTGGTTTAATAAGCAAAAACCACCTTTGTATGGGGAGCAAAGGTGGGTGCTCTCCTCCGCTTCCCTTAGGACCGTGGATTGGCTCTGTAGAGTCAGAGCTGACAGGGCTTGGGGAGGGCTCTGGCAGGACTGACTCACTCCCAGAGAGGAACTGTTCCAAAATCAACCAGAATTTGAAGGTGGACCTACTGGTAGGAAGTGGGAACTGTCACACACCTGGTGTGTGACATCTGTCTGGTGCTTCCTGCAGTCCCTAATGCCCATTGCAGAGAAGGGCAGAGTGCACCCAGTCATGAGCTGAGGGACCCCAGGCTAATATGTCCCCCCCGCCCCATGGGGACGTGGTGATGAAATCATAGCTCTCAGTACCCTGCACATGAGCTAGAGAAGCAGGAGCCTGATCACTCTGCATTGCCTTCATGTCTTCATTCTTCATTGTACTCCTCCATTTCCCTGGGACCTCTGTTTAGCTCTGCCCATGGCAGGATTTTTGTTCCTCTGACTGCTTTGATTCTGAGCTGCACTCAGTGCTTGCAGCATATTTTCCTAACGTGTCTGCAATGCAGCAGGGCTGTAGTAACACAGCCAAACCCAAACCATTTTATAGCTCACTTAGCTCGCTTGTACAGCTAAGCAAGTCTCCTAAGTGCAAGCAGATCAGCAGCACGCCAGGAGCCTGCAGCCCAGCTCTAACCCTGCTTAGAGTACTGCTTTTCAGGGAAAAAGCACTCACACCAAAACACCAATTCCAGCAGTGCATTTTAGGACATTAAGAGAAGTCCAGTGATGTCTGAGAGTGACCATTCTTTCCCTGCTTTCTCAAGAGCTCTTGCTCACTACAGCAACACAGAGGCAGCAAACACTTCTAGTCTATACCAAGGCATTTTGGCAGGGATTTGTTTGACCCCAAAAGGCTTACAAGCACTACCTCAGCAAGGTTTCCCTACAAGAGCTGCCTGTCATATTCAGCTGCTGGCTGCCAAAACACCAGTGGAACCAATGATGCCTGCAAACAGGCGAGAATCTCTGCAACGACAGCCCAGTGCCTCAGCATTTTGTCACAAGCTGCTTTTCCACTCATGGTTCAGAGGGTCAGAACCTAAGTCCATGGTGCTGGCCACTTTGTTCTGCAGCTGAGAGTTCAAAATATTTGTCTCCGGAACCGGCTGTTCCTTTGTTAAACCAGTTTCAGTGCACCGGGGCTGCGGAAATCGGCAGTCCACTTTTGAATGGAAGCAGTGCTTTGCCTTTAACTTTGCTATTAAACACTGATGGTATGGGTGTGGGGTTTAAAAAAGTTTAAAAAATAACTAAAATTAGGAGCAACATGCCTGGTAGCTCAACATGGAAACTCCCGTTCTCTACACACCTGCAATTTAGGAAAAGTTTGCAATTGTAGGATTTGTTTGCTGCTGTTCGGGGATAGGTCTAAGGGGAAAAAAAAGTCAAAGCTTTGAAAAAAAGAGGCAACTGGAAACAGAGAGGGTAAACACAGCAAAAATCAGCAGAGAGCAAGTCCCCACAGATCTCCTCCCTGTGCTCAGTTTGGAGGGTGTTGCCCTCCAACTTGGTCCCATTGCTGCAGGCAAGACACGCGGTCCCACCTCGGCAGGGAAAGGCGCTTTCCTACTCACCAGAGGCGGCAGATCCCGCAGCCAGCGCCAGGGCCGAGAGCAGGGTGAGGATCCCGGGGCTCCGCATGCTGCCCCGGCGGCGCTCCCACCTGAGGGGCGCTCCGGCAGCCGCCCTGCTGCACCCGAACATCTACATTTCCTGCTTCCTGCCGGGGAGCATCTGAGCTGCATTTCTTCAGGAGATGGACTCTCTTTGATGGGTTTTAGGAAGTGATGTAATTCCGTCTGGGCCTGTCAAGTGAGCAATGATTGCAAAAGAAAGAAGAAAAAAAAAACCAGAAGTTGCTCTTCAGGCACACACTTGACTGAGGCACCTTTATGCTGTAGGTGAGAGAGCTCCCGCTCTCTTCCTCTCCTTTCACTCCTGACTTTACCACCTTCTATCTTCATCTACACACAGTGCCACAGATCATACAAATACAGATCAGACACAAAACTTCATATATGTATGTTAGCAGGAAGGTTTTATGTCACTTTTCAGGGTGGTTAAGCAAGAAAATTTCAATAGTGCCTCCCCTCCTTCCTTGGTTTTCAAGCTGTAATTCTCCCCACATCGGGGTGGGAGACTGCATACATTTACAGTCCCAAAAGGCAGCCCCCAAGTGGGCTGTCTTCAGCAAATGGGATGAATGGCTGGCTCTCTTAGGAGCCTATAACTGACTATTCTGGGCTGGTTCGTGCAGAGGAAGAGGAACAAGCAGAAAACCACATAATTTCTTTGTTATGAGCAGGTGGCTTAATGAGCAAGTGCTGAGACACTGGTGTGATGATGGCTGCAGATGGCAGGGGACAGAAGGTTTCAGTCTCCACCAGGATGCAGGGCCTGGCATGGGGGCCCGCAGTGCTACAGTTGTGTGAAGTGGCAAGGGGAAAGCAATCCTGCCTCCCTTCCTGACTCCTCTTTATTTTTGCTCCCCCTTGGCAGTCTCTGTCTGGGTGTGAAGACCTTGGCTGTTGCCCCTCCAAACACTGCCGTGTCCTCTGTTCCCACCACCCCATCACTGTCCACACGCTCAGAAACATGTAAGAGCTGGTCAGGGGCTTCCACGTGTTTCCTGTTGGGTGGTGCTCTGTGGGTAAGAGCAATGGAGAACTTAAAAATTAAACCAAGCATTTTCAATCTTCTTGCTGTATAGGCCTAGACAGGACTCAGGATTTGGATCTGGATCTAAACTACACATGTACCCAAGCTGGGAGAGCGGTTGGACCATTGAATTGGGTTGTTCCACTGTAGAAATAAGTGCTAGGTCTAAAATTAATCTCTCTGAGCTGAGGAGGGTCTGCACTCCAGGTTTTACTCTGGAGTATCCCAGGTAAGAGCCATTTGAAATACTTGCATAAAATTTTCCAGTAGTAATCTAAGAAAGGAGGGTTGAATGGTGACTGTGTAGGAGCTTCATAGTACTTTCCCTATACATCAGTCTGTCAAAATCTGATTTCTGGTCAGAATTTGTTGAGTTCTGGAATTTGTCAAAGCTGGTGAATCTTTCTGTTCAGATTGGTGGGGAGTGATCAATCGCTGCTTTGCTTCTCCAGCTAATAATTTTTCTTAACACACTGATGCTTTTATAGGCCATCAGTTTTAGGTTATTTAGCTTGAGTAGCTGAGAAATAGGTCAGTGATTCATTTAATGACCAGCTTGTTGATAGATTTAAGCCCCTTGAATAATACAGTTAACTAAAAATCTGAACTGGTTGCTTAGTATTGACAATGTATGTATATCATAAAATAGTTGGGGGAAAAGCAAAGTTGCAACATTTGCACCTACAAGTAGATAAAGAGGAGCTCTGAGTTTTGAATCCACTGCACTGACCAACAAATCAAATATTTCTAGGAGATATTCTTTAATATGATGTCAGAGTCATACACAATAACACTTATCAGACACAAGTGTCAGAGGTGAAACTTGCCAATACTTTTAAGATTTTTCCATTAAAAAATGACAGAAACTCAAAGGATTAGTAGTAGTGTCTAATTGACATAGACTGTTTGAATGATGGAAGTCCAGAAATTGAGGCTACTCATCTGTGCTCAGAGGTGATTTTGTCTCGTCTGGCAATAAGAAAACTGATAATGGGCTGGTGGCCAGCAAAGGCAAAGCCTGTCTGTGTTTTCAGGAGCAGACTCTCAAATCCCAAGGCTGGCACTATTGTCCATCCTCAGCTTTCCTTGAACATTAGTCAACAGTAGGCAAAGTCTTACTATTTAACAGTATTTTCGTTGTTTTAATGTACAGAAAAGATGTGCTGTACTCCTTTCTATTTCTTCCCCATTTCCTTCCCAGCTTTGCCACTCTAATACCAGATGGGCTGCACACATGTTCCTCTGATTTGTCCTGCCCTGTATATTTGTGGTTTTGCCCCATTGTGTAGACTCAGCCCAGCTCACTCATCCATTACAAAAACATAAACATAGAGAGAGAAACTGGAAGGGAAAACAGGAAAGGATTTGTTTTTATTTTATATCTTTACTGCATTTTTACACCGTATTTCTAATGTAAAGAACTATATATATTTCTCTTTCCCTTTTCAGTCTTTCTACATAGGTTGTAGCATTTTCCCTCAAGTTCCCATCAACTCTTATTGACAAATATTTGGCTAACAACTCATCACTGCCCCTTGAAAGCAAGATAGCCATCTACTGCTGTGTACACAAGTATGACTTCTAAGGCAAATAAAAGTACAGGAAATGTGACTCTTGGCCACAGTACCTTTTAATTAAGATTTTAGAGGCATATGAAAGTGGTTTGGCATGCATTTGACTATCCTAATTTTATTTTCTTTTTTAATTGTAGAGAAAGAGAAATGAGGTATTTTGGATGCTGACAAATCAGACTCTCAAGCAAGGGCAGTTACCTTGGACCATGCCCAGCGGCATTGGGATGGTGCTCCCCTGAACCTTTGCCTGGTATCAAGGCAAAGGTATCAACCTTGCTTCCCAAGCAGTCTCCCTTTGGCCTGCCTGGGAAGCAAGGTTGGTACCTTTGCCTCAGTTGTTGTCTTCAGCCTCATGCATCTCTCTTCATAGTTGGAATACAGAAACCAAAATCTGTAGTGACAACTTTGCTGCAAAACAAACTTGTGCATTTGGAAACCCATGTAGCTTCAGTCATGGATGGTTTTGTAAGAGGGGTGGATTGTATCTGGTAATTTCATAGACCTTAGTGCATTTACTAGGATCCACAATGCACCTCAGCAAAAAGAAGTGTCTTTTCACAGGTAAAACCAGTAAATGTTCAGGGTGCTTGCAATGTATGTTACCCATTTGGAAATATTTGTGCATGTTCAATGTTACTGTTTCATTGGTTTTTAGGGTGTAAAGGGCATTTCTGAGCACAAAGCTAGGCTGTTGGCTGATGTTGTTCCCTAATAGAGAAGGATTTGCATCACTGAGATTACAGCATGTCATCAGAGTGACCTTTTCAGAAAAACAGAAATGTATTGCAATGCTGCAGCCGCTTGGCTGACACTCTTCTAGTTCCTTTTTCCTGTGAAAACAACAACAGCTAAATTTTTCAAGAGATGTGGCAAGCTGATGGTGAGTTGCAGGGCTTTTATTACAAACCTGCTAGTACAGCTTGTCTGCTGCAGTCCTGAGCAGCTAATTCACTTGCTCTGAAGTGCAGGAAGGGACTAGAACCAGCCAAGTTCTACTAGTGCCTTAATGACTTGTTTCTGTCTCTTACATACATTGAGAAAGGACGGATAAAATTTTCCCACCAGTTGCTGTGAAAGAATGGAAAATAGCAGTGCATTGCAATTCACTGCAACATTTTAAAAAGAAACAAACATCAAAGCAGAAGGGTTTGTGCAAAGCCCACAGGGATCTTCTGGAGTCAGCCAGAGTGTCAGCTGCAATGGCACTTCTGCAGGTTGCTGAGCTAAGCCAGATTTGCAGAATCAAGGCTAAAATCCATCCTTGTGTGGAAATCTCGTGGGGATCTGGAACTGCATCCACTGTTGCACTTGTTTCAGAGCAAGCAATGCCTGACCAAGTTGCAGATGACAAAGCTCTCCTTCCAACAAATTCAAATCTAGATTACACGAAAGGAGAAGTTACATTTTATTTCAGACACAGAGGTGCTTCAGGAAAAAACAGAATCATTCAATCTTTTCAATCTTTCTGAAACCAGTGCCACCAGTATAAATTAGAACAAAGCTTAGAACAATGAGATATTATCCCTAACAACTGGGACAATGTAATATAACTAAAATGAGAATGACAATAAAAGCATAAAAACAAGTATCTGCCAGTTTTAAGAATCTCTTTGCTTTACTACACTTGTAATTGTCTTTTATTTTCTTTTTATTTTTATTTTTTTTTCCACATACATAACACAGGCTGCTATTTCATGCTGACAATATTTTGGGTACTTCAATAGGAAGAGAAAAAAAATACAAAACTAAAATTGAAAGTATCCAGATGTTCACATCTGCAAAATTATACTTGAAAATATTCAGATGTTTGCATCTAAGTTTCCTTTAAAAAAATTTAAAAATGGGTTCAAATAGAGACTTCTAAGATTAAAAATCTCTGAAATGGAAGAGGCCTCAGGGTGCATTGAGATCACCGACAGATTTATATTGAAGATTTATATTGTTGACATATTTATATTGAAGCTGGACACTTCATTTCTACTAATTTTTGGGAAAGCAGTACATGGATTATACATTTTGCACTTGCCAAAAGATTGCTGAATTACTTGTGACTTACATAAATTCCTAAAATAGATGATGCTTCCATTCTGTTGTAGTACTGACTGTGTTTTGAAAGATATGTCCTCCTGGAAGCTCAGCTTTCCCTCAGGCAAAATCCACAGCTGAAACTGCACTTCCAAAAGGACAATGTCTGGTCAGCAAAGTTGTCTTGTTATTTGACCACAGGAGACACAATTACTAGCTGGTGTAGGTAGTCCCCAGCAGAGCTTTCCTGTAGCCTAGTGGGGATTCACCCATAAATTCCTTCACAACAACCTTCCTAGACTCCTACCCTTAAAATCTAGCTGGGACTCCATGAGGTCTGTCTTTGTCTCAATGCAGGCTGGGTAAAGGTGGGACGAACCCCCCAAAGTACAACTTTAGGGTTTGTGTTTTTTTAAAGCCTGCTCTTACCTCAATGCTACCAGCTTC